TTTCTTGAGTTGTCACTATTTATTAATTTTGAAGTATTAATGCTATTAAGTGAATAATAATTTGTTAGTCAACAAAATGAATTAACAAGAAAGGTCAGAGTTCAAAATGCAAATTACTTGTTTTTGATTGGCTGACACTCTCACTTAGGGGGAATGCATACCATGACAAGAAAAGATTGTTTTTCCAGCCACAAAGTTGCACCAAATCAACAGAATTTGATATTGCTCAATATGGATTTTGGTCAGTTTCAATTATTCACCAACTTTAAAATGTTTTGATGAACCCAAGTAATAAAGATTAATAGTGAAGATGACAGTGCATGTGATTTTATATCCTATGCTCCATGTATGTTTGCATTATGTTTTTGTAATGCATATTTGTGTCTAGTAACAAGACAATGACAACTAAAGAATAACTAATACATGTGCTATCTTTGTCTAATATTGTTGTACCTCATATAGTTATTCGTGTCACTGAATACTGCAATTGTTTACACATCAAGAATTCTTGGATAATCGTGCAAGTCATCACAAAATTCAAGTTCTTTTGAAACTATAAAAAAAATATTCCACTTGTCATGTAAATATTACTTCTTTTTCTTGAGTTCTTCAAATCTTCTCGTCAGGTCGTCAAAGTCTACGTCTTCCCCTCCAGCTGAACTTGAACCAATGGTGTTATCAAGAGATGGTAAACTGTTTGCTGGAACTGAAGGAAGATCTGGTATACCAGAATCTTTTGGTGGCAAAGGACCAGCATCTGGTGGTGGTGGTGGTTGTGGTGTACTAGGGACTGGCGCTGATGGATGAACTGGTAGTTGGTTGGTACGATGTTGTCGTCGGGAGAGGGTCTGAAACAGAGCAATAACAACATTGACTATAAACTGTCACAAGAACCTCTAAAATGTCAAATAAAATATTCAACTCTAAAGAGCTGACCACGTTTTATCAATTATGATCTTGGCTTTTGAATGCAAATTTTCCTCTCCAAATCAAATTTATTATTGTGGAAATCAAGTCATACAAAAGATTGCAAACATTGCTCATTAAAATATCAATCTTTTTGACATAAGCATTAGCATTCAGACTTTAAATAAACTGCAACCCTTGACATAACAACCCATTCCTAATTTCATCCATTCATACTAGATTTAAATATGATACTTACATACAGAATCTTTCATAGCTGTTTCATAAGACGGTGCCTGGAATCACAATAATAAAAACATGAATTCAAATGATTGTAAATAGAGGTGTACGAGAATGGAAGACTGGCTTTGTCCACAACATATATGGTGAATAATGGTAACTAATGAGATCACATTGACCCAGACACATTGGAGAATCAAACTTGCACAATGCTAAACTGTATTTTCAATTTGGTCTTCATATAATCTTGCTGAGTGAAAAGGATTCATACATGTAATAAACTGTACCAATGTACACCACACAATGACACAGTATACTATTATTTTAAGTTTACTAATATTTCAAGATCTACACTCATTCAGTTAAACTGTACACAAAATGTGTTGTTGTGATGTCATCACATCGATGCTAAAGTTGAAATTGAGAATGAAATCATTATTTCACCTAACTATACATCATAGAATGACATACTAGCAGCATTAACATCGCATAGCAAGACGGTATAGGATCACAATTTGGTGTTTACATGCAGTTAATGAATACATAAGGCCATAAAGAAATATATTATTACATTTTAAAGTTTAAGGGGCAGCAGTCGTCGCGCCACGTTCTGTTCGATATGGGACTCATAGCGACGTATACAGCGCATGTAAAATACATTGTTTATTTACATGAAATTCGAACACGTGCTGCGCGACGACCACCGCGCTGTAAATTTTTTAATTCAGTATTAGTTGTATCCTGTTCAGTTTAAGACAATCATATATAAATATTACACTTGTCAATGATTAATTTTATGTCAGCGGAGGTTTTTCCCCTGGTTACAAAAAGGAATCATGCGTGCAGCTGTAAGCATGGTGACCAATGTGAAATGTGCAACAGGGAGATAGTTAACTTATGCCAGGACCTGTAATTGAAATACCATGATTATTGTTGTGATAAGATGAGACAAACACACTGAACACCAGCACTCAACAACTGTTGGGGGAGTGTACACTTAAGTACATGATGATACATAACCCAGAACAGAGCATGAAAGATACAAGGGGAAGATGACCAGTGAGGTTTTAAGTAAAAAGATTAAACTAGTCCCAAGGTGGGGATGTTTAATATGCCATTCTCACCATACATTCTATGGTTAGATAGGTACTGACACAGAAATGAAGCAAAGATGAGTGACGCGGAGCAGTTTGACAACACTCACCGGACTAACAGGTCTGGTTGGGTCCACAAAATCAGACTGTGAATGTAAGTATTAAAGACAAGTGTTTACTGCAAAGCAATGTGGTGGTGGTGGTGGTGGTGATTGATGTGAACAGTTAGGAAAGGTTTAGCAATGACCCACATCGAGCAACTGTGAAAACTCACCGAACTCGACTGACCATTGTACGCAGGGGGAACATTTGTCGACCCTGCCGGAGGTCTACTAGGCAGTGGAGGAGGACCTCCTTTTTTTGATGTTTGTTGAGGAGGAGGTACATAATTTGCAGGCGGAGGAGGCACAGAGGGCATTCTGAAAACAAAAAATCAAAACTAAAACATACAGCCACAAACAGAAGAAAGAAGCTTTGACATAAATAAATTTGTGTCTGACCAGTGTTATGCATGATAGAGAGGACCAAGCCGCCATTATTCCTTGAGTATATCAAGTTAAAATTTATGGCAATCAATAAGAAGATTTAATTTGAGGTATAGTAGAGGGTTAGTAAAAAAAAGCAGTAACTAGAAGTGTATATGGCTAATAAATATTTAAATGTGTTTATTAAAAGTGTACATATAGGCCACAGCTGCTAGGAAGCATTATACCATTGAGTATATATGGTAATACAGGTTATGGTGAGTCTTGCACACGGCAATCAGTACACCTATGTTTGAATGATGGGTTAGTGGTTAGAAGTACAAATACTGAACATGACTTCAATGTTACTGTTACTGTAAAATCTGTATTAGAAATTGCCGCTTCTATTAAAATGGTACAATGCAACAGAGGGAATACTGCTTATATTAGAATGGTGAATTTTTGGTTCTCAATTATTCAAAAAGAATGGATGTGACTTCTATTAGGGATGCGGCTTCTAATACAGATTTTACGGTATACAAAATGTATAAATCACTTTAGTCTCGTAAAACCGGCATTCAAATCTCAGATAAAATCTTCTTATCACAGAAATTTTCCACCACAGGTTAAATTTTTTTTAAATTTGAAAACCTCATACCTTACTGTCAGTTGCCAAAAATATTTTTCATTGTTTTAAACGGAGAGAATTATTTTTAAGTATTTTACCTTGATATGGCATAATGTATTTATGGCTGATGGCCTACATATATATATATATACATATTATATAAATGTAATACTGTGCTTATTATCTGTATAAAATCAAACCTACCTAGCCTGAACTGAACACTGCATACAATCAAACACCTAAAAACTGTTATCACTTCATATGCCAAAGGTTTCAAACAAAATAGTTTATTGGTGACAATATGACTTAATACAGCAAATATGTATATAATAATTGGAATATAGTACAGGGTTCTGCCCAGCTTGATTTGAGTGCCGGTCGCTAATTAATATTCATGAGCTCATTAATATTCATGAGCTAATTAATATTCATTTTCCATTCTACTAGCTACGAATTAACTACTTTAATTATTTTAACTTTTATTTATTTCAAATATTTCAATGTAAAATTAATCTGCTTTAATAAAAGTGAAAAAATATATATACTTTATTTTTGAAATCACGTCTAAAATACGTATTTTTAGACATTGACCTCTGACCTGGCAGCCATTTTTTTTTCAAAGCGTGTCATCCGTTTGTTACAGCCAAAGTGGCAACAAGAATTTAATTGTTTTCTTTCCCGATGGAACGCTGGTAAATTAC